GACCAGCTGAAGAAGGAGATTAAGAAGCTGCAGCGGTCGCGGGACCAGATCAAGACATGGGCCGCCATGTCTGAGATCAAGGACAAGAAGCCGCTACTCGATCACAGGAAGCTCATCGAGACAGTAGGGTGACTGCCGTATCGTGGGTCAATGCCGTAGCTGACATGTGACAGCAAATGGAGCGCTTCAAGGCTGTGGAAAAGGAGATGAAGACAAAAGCATATTCCAAGGAGGGCCTCCAATTAGCCTCCAAGATTGACCCCAAGGATAGAGAAAAGATGGAAGTGGTCGAATTCCTACAACATATGAACGAAGAGCTCGAGCGGCAAATAGAGACGATTGAAGCCGAAATCGAGACGCTGAACGCCAATGTCAAAAAGTCGAAGAAGGGCGACAATTCAAAGGTAGAGCGCGTGACGGAGCTGGAAGAGTCGGTTGAGCGGAATAAATGGCACCAATCCAAACTGGAGCTGCTCCAACGAGCGCTGGAGAATGGCAGTGTTGAGACGGAACAGGTCAAGGAAATTGAGGACAGCATCAAGTACTACGTCGAGAGCAATCAGGATCCTGAGTTCATGGACGACGACACATTATACGACGACTTCAACCTACAAGAGGAGGAGGCTATCTACGGTCTGGGTGAGAATCTGGACCATGTCTCGTCACACGAATCGCAATCAATAGCCGACGATACACCCGATACAGAAGTACGTCCACCGGCACCGAAACCAAAGGCGACCGAAGCAGTGCAACAAGGGGCAAGACGGTCGTCGACACAGATGAAGTCGCCATTACCAGCGCTAGCTACATTGCATACCCCCTCGCCCAATGCTGCAAATAATACGGCAAACGCTATGAAGCCTGCACCGATACCAACACGAACTCCAGGAGAGCCATTAAAGTATGCATCGGCTGCTGCGGCTGCGGCTGCGAGTGACAGGAACGGAGTTGGCATTGCTCCGCTGCCACCACCACCAGGAGCTGCTGCAGCCCAACCAAGTCTCGCTGCTGGCGGTGCACGTGCAAGTGCAACAAGCTCACCCGCCATAACACATTCCCAACCAGCCTCACGTACACAGCAGGCCGAATCCGCACAGGCCTCGCCTGCTCCTGCTGCCAGCGTACCTGCGACCGCTCCTGTGGAGAAGGACTCACCTTTGCAAGCTGCAGTGTCTGATGACGTCTCCAAGGCCAACAGAAGAACGCCTGTCCCTGAGCCTGTAGAAGAAGAGGAATCTCAACCTACTACGCCGCCACTTACCAACGGAGAATCGCATGCAGAAGATGAAGATGAAGAGTCGGTCTACCATCTCCCCTCCAGTCTGCAGGATCTGCTTGATTCGTTCGAGGCAACCAAGAATGATATTTCTGCCTCAGCATCAAAACCTCCGGATGAGCGTATGCTAATGGCATCAATGGCTACTGCGCCCGAGTCTGCAGATACTGAGGCGCCGCGTCACTACCGTCCCCAAAATCCTTATCCATTCACCCCCGCTCACTACCCGCAAGAGCCCTTGCCCATTTTCGACGACCCTCGTCTATATTCCCGCATTGAGACGGACGCTCTTTTCTACGCCTTCTATTACCGCCAGGGTACATACCAACAGTACCTAGCCGCCAAAGCATTGAAGTCACAGAGTTGGAGATTCCATAAGCAGTACCAGACATGGTTTCAACGCCACGAAGAACCAAAAGCAATTACTGAAGACTATGAGCAGGGAACATACCGATTCTTCGACTATGAAAGCACATGGTAAGCACTTGGTTTCGTTGCTCGGTTTGCTGTCTGCAAAGCTCCCGTACCGAATTCTGTGTCTCAGGGGCAGACTCTCGAAGTGATACAGTGCTAACTTTGAATCTAGGATGAACCGTAGAAAGGCAGACTTCCGATTTGCGTACAAGTTTTTGGAAGACGAACTATAAACAATTGATCACGTTCCACTTGTCGAATCCTTTGCTCAGTATGGTAGTTGCATTCTGTATCAAGTTTTAGGTAGTCCTGGAGTGGGTTCCTTCGCGGACAAATGTCTCGTGCTCTTCGGAACCCAAAGCGCTCTGCCGGACGGCTTCGCACTGAATTAAACCTTACAGCAAGCACACAGACTGTCTTTGGGCAGAGTAATTTACGATGAGACACCTATGCATGGATTGAATAGCACTGATTAAGATGTTTCTATCATAGGAATTCCTTGCACCGCTCGAATTGAGTGGTGTAGGGGCGAAGCGGTGTTAGGGCCGGGCGTAATCTGACATTACATATGTAGCCAAGGCCGCGGTTTCAAAGAACTTCAGCCCCCAATCGCGTGAGAGCTGCAGGGCTGTGACAATAGCTGGGCCCATCTCCACTGGCTGTGTTAGCGAAAGAAGCCTTCTTCAACGTTCCGAGCTTCGATTTGGCCCCATTACGCCCGACAGCACTAGCTCGTGCATACCGCTCAGCCGAGCGGTTACAGCATGGATCGTTCACATACAACTTTTTGCGGTCTCAGCACAGAGTTGATGAGCTGGTCGCTGCTAAACGCAGACAACAGTGCATGCTGAGAGGAACGGGTGTGAATTGAATGTTTTATAGGGGCTAAACCATCTACAGCGGGCGGTCCACACAAGTGCTTCTGACATTGCGTTAGGTATCCAAATGTGGATGGCGTTGGTCGCCTAGTTACGATGTGAGCACTTCGACCGACGTTTTCTGACAGACTAGTCATAGTCGAGATGCAGCTTTGGCATCTGCCTTGATTGTGCAATTGTGTCCAAGAATACTGACTTGTGCACATCAGCTATGATGCCGATCTTCAGGCCGCAAACCAGGTCCTGCAGCTCAACAAGGGTAAGGCCATACACCCCAGAGCCAGAATAGGCAAAACAACATGTATGCATGCGCTCCAAGTCACACGGTAGCCTGTCGGCCTACTTTCATCCTGTCCATCGGTGACTCCGGCCCATGGCTCATAATGGAAACAGGTACGAGAATACAAGAAGAGTATCCATTGGACTGGTCTAGCTCTTGCTGTAGCCAAGCTCTGCTAACAAGCAAGTGAGATGCCATGAGGCTAAGGTCAGATCAAGCCCTGCAGGGCATGCGGTAGGAAGAAGGGTTAACGGCAGATCTAGTCAACGGCTATCTTTCTCCACCAACTACACTGGCTATGCTCCTTTTAGCAAACTATTTCACCGCCTCTCTATTCCCACCATAGAAAACAAAACTGGCTTCTTTGACTCACATGTGCCATAGCACCGACCCACCATTTCGTCCTTGAGTTTCACCACCTTCTTTGCACAGACACCAAACATCGTCAGCCCTATACCAAGATACGTAGTTGCTACCGCAGGCCTGGGTTCTCTGCCTCGCCCGCGCTAACCCATAAGTCCCACCTCAGCAATTTCAGACTTCTATACTCAAAGTCTTGGTTCTTGGCATAGCTTTGTTCAAGCACGGCGGCAATCTTACTAAAGGGACGACATTGCCTCCCTCGAGCCCTGTCAATACCAACTGAATCCTGGATCTGGGTCCAAACCTTAATTTGAACCTCGCTGACCCCTACTTTTTATTCTCGTCATCAACGATGTTGGCACATCACGGTTCGCATGGCGATGCTTTCGGGCTTTTGGAGAGTCCGTTTCCTCCGAAATATATGTAAGTGGATGCGTACTTTACGGCTGCAGGCTGTCAGCTCGATTGTGGCAGTGATTAGGTAGCTGTCAAAAAAGACATCCTTTTAGCGCTACCATATAAACTATCAAGATTTCGCCTCTTGACAAGACAAGGGACAAGAACAACGACGTAATTGAATCGTCTAACCTGTTTTTCATCACAGATCTCCCAGACAATCATACTTTGTACCTCACAAGCATCCAGTCCCGATAAGGAACACGCACCAAGCGCACGAACTGCGCCTTATCACATCGCCCGCGGCACCCGCCTACCGCCCGTCTGCCCTTGGAACTGTCTCTATTAATACTAGCTCTCGTCCCAAGAAGACCGAGTCAGTGCGCCCAAAGCAGGAACAACCGCCTTCGCCCGCCATGTCCGGATACAGCGTAAGTCGCTCCCCCCACATTACCAATTTCTTAACAAGTTCTCCACGTTTTCTTGCTTCGCTTACTGACAGAAATATACAGTACTCGTCTTCAGACCAAGGTAGCTACTCGTATCAACAACAGCCACGGTACCAACCAGGAGTACCTCAATACACGCAGCAACAAATCAATGCGTATTATGTGCAATACCAATGTTATCCACCACAGCCATGGCAGATGATTCAAGATTATTATGTTGAGCAGCCAATGGGCGTGACACCCGCTCTATACCAAGAACCCGTGACAGGATACGAAAGCACAGAATGGCAAACGCAAAGTACAGACATGAATCTATCGACGGGTCAAAGTCATAAAAGGTATGTACATTAACGAGAATCACACAATCAAGCATAAGGAAAAATAGAGTCTAACATGCCAACTATGAGTAGAAGCAAAAGCAGTACCGCACGCCCAAAGTACGTTACTCCCTCTTTCCTCTCCCAACCCTTTCCCTTTTTCTAACATTAACCCCCCTTCCAACAGAACATGGACCTGCGACATCCCCTCCTGCACCTCCTCAGCACACTTCACGCGCCTGGCCGACCTGCAACGCCACCAGTCCACCGTCCACGGCGTAGGCACGCCCGAGTACCCTTGCCACGTTGCGCGCTGCAACCGCGTAGGCGAAAAAGGTTTCACGCGCAGAGACCACCTAGTCGAGCACCTCCGCAACTTCCACCACATTGATATCCCAAGGCGGAAGCCGGGAGAGCGCTCGGCGTTTCCGTTTGGGTGGCCTGAGGGCGCTGGCGTAGGCGGCGGTGCACAGAGTTAAAGAAAAGAAAGCCGTATGCGCATATGTGTGTGTGGGTATCATTATTATGGAACAATCATCATCGAACATCACGATCGTAATTGCTGCCTATTATGTATTGGAGCGATTATTTTCGGGTGGCGAGAACGGAGAAAAGGAGCAGGGGTCCGCATTATCGGTTGTAGTTTTACAGAAGGAGGGGGCATATTGCGGCAAAGAGGGTTGGTTCCGCGGCATGCGAAAAGAAAGGGCACCGAGTACGATGCATATTGGGAGGTTTTACTGGATCAACAGGATTTGAAGGACAGGGTAGAAGCATGTGGCTGCGGCTCAGCAGATGGGCTTTTCCGGAGAGTTATTTGCCCCGAGGCCGGTTCTGGATGCATGGTTGCATAGGTGGTGAGTTGTTTGCTTTTGTTGGTTCGCTTGGGAGGTTGGTCGACCTTTTTTCGTTGCCGTACATTCGATTTTCCGCCCTTGTCTTACGCCGTCATCTTCGGTTAGATCTTCGTTTTTCTTTTCTTTTTACATCTATCCGCATAGCATTTTGTGGGGTTGGTACGGAATTTGAGCTGAAACTGGGTGTAGATGGCTTGGAAGGAGGCACACATGGCTTTTCCACAATGCATCGGTTAGTTTTTGTTAGGACTAGGGTTTACAATATCCTTGCGGTGTTCATGGTACGAGCGGGCCAATTACGAAAGAATCGATTTCAGGACCATTTGTCCAGGACTGCTCCACTTCCACGCATGCTACTCGTACTGGACGCCTGAGATGGCGGGCCTTGCATGTCAGATATTATGTACTCACGCCAGGAAAAGCGCTAGAACCTCGCAGTTTGAAAGGCTGCTTATTCCCGTTGGATTTTGCAACTTATTGTTAGTTAGTACCGGGTCATATTGGTCTCCCTTTCGGCCGTATCCTTATCCTCATCCTCCTCAAGCTGTGATGTGTCGTCGTGAGGCTAGATGCGAGCAAGGCTGGCACGTGCCGTCCATATCCTTGTTAAGCGACAAACGAGTACTACGTCGTGTCTTAGCGAACGAGATATATTTACGGCGCTTCGCTACTGTGCCGCATCAGCCTTGGGAGGCGGAGGCTGCTTTCGAGTGGTCGCATGTGGTCGAAGGTTGTTGATTCGTGTGCCAACACCAGAATTAAGTATTACAAACCTGGGAATGCGGCCACGACAAAAAAGTGGCGTGTGGCTACGACATGATTGCTGCATCCATGTCCAAGTGTACGACGAGAGGATTCCTTGCTGATAAAAAGTCTCATCCTGGGCATGGAACTCCGACCATATCATCATATCCCGCAGCGCGCTTACCGATTACCGCGCATTGCGTTGGCACGGGATCGCGACCGTATGGTCTGCCACATGAAGTCTAGACCCGAGGGCGAAGTTGGCTTTAACGGAGATACACATGTCAGACCGATTGGTTGAGAGGTTGAGAGGTTGAGAGGTGGCTGGCATGAACATGACCACGCCTTCTGCAGCTGACCAGGCGAAGAGTTGATGTGGCTCTATGGACTTGATTAACTGAACATAAACATTGCGCCAGAGCGTAGATCATCTGACGGTAGTGTAGACAGAGGCCACCTAAGCGTCTACCTGTGCGGCTGGGGCGCGTGGCCCCAGATAAGAATATGATGTGAGCCCGTTTTTTGTGAAGAAGACTGATATCAGCTGTTCTCGAAGTCCGGTCTTATTCCTGGCCGCTTTCTTGGTCAAAAGATAGAGCAGAAGCGGCCAATCAGTGTCAAGACCATATGGCTGACACGAAGCTGTCGCTAAGAACAACACATCAGGTTAGTCTTACCGTGGCGGCGATCAGGGACTATATGAAGGGACGATAAACCCAAAAGAAACAACAAGTGTCAAGCGTATCCTTATATCCAAAGGTCATCTGGGTCGGTGTGGTCAGGTAACGTGTGGTGGAAGGTTTGCAAATGGAACGCTGGATGGATATGACGTATGCGACGGTTAGCGCCGTTTGGCCACCGTCCACTCGGGACAAGTCGTTTGGGAGGAACGACTGACACCAGCAGGCTGCCTTGTGAACAACCACATCTCCCTCCCTCCTATCTGCCTCTGACTTGCTATCTCGCTGTCTTCTCTGACTCATACTCATGTCTTTCAAACCTAATTCATATACGTCCACGACTGAATTTAGAGATTCATTACCCTTAGAATAACTGCCTTCCTACTCTGGCTTCCCCGCAATCCGCCGCTGGGTACGAACCACTTACCACACTCAACCTCATAGCTACAGCTTCGAAAAGGTTGTTGTAACGAGATTTGCCCCAAAAATTCATCTAGACTACGAGACATAATCCAGAATGCGCGACCTTCGCAAGCAGGCTCTCGAGAGCCACAAGACCGTCTCGCGCAAGGCCCGGTCGCGCGTCGCATCCACTACAGCCTCCAAATCAAACTCGGTAGTCGCATCACCAGCACAGTCGCGTGCTGCCAGTTGCAGCCGACACGATACCGACGACGAAGACGAGTTGAGTGACGGAACTGCATGGAGGTGAGTGTCTAGCGCCGCACACAACTTTTTTTGGTTTGCCTCGCCACACTGTAGATCGTCCCTGGTGACATCATCACCCAAAACAATGTCGACCAACAAGTACTAACATCTTGTTTGAACAGCACCGCATCTATCGATGACATCCTCAACGGTGAAGATGTCAACATTCCTGAAGATGCATGGAAGGCGGAGCTTCATACGCGCATCGAGCAGATTACCAACCTAAAGCGCAGCAGCACCGATGGACGCACCGAAAGCCTAAATGCCTACGCGCATATACTCATGGCTCGTTATGCGAGAGACGAGATCGAGAGCCACACACACGAGCTAGTTTCTTCTATGCTTAGGAGCATTAGACAAGAGACCACAGAAAACGAAGCTGTAAAGGCATTGAAAGGTATGCATATCATCTGGAAACAATAACGCTTTGCTCACAAATATTAGCGCTCGCAGTCACTGCTGTTACTCTTGATTCCGACTCCATTTATGACGATGTCGCCGACCAACTCAAGCGATCTGTCCAATCATCATCCTCAATCGCCGTCAAGGTCAATGCCATCCATACCCTAGGCACCACCGCCTTCTTCGCTGGCGCAGGTGACGACGAGATACTGGACATTATGAACCTCTTCCTTGAGATTGTTGAGTCGGATGGTGCTTCCATTGATGCGCAAGATGAAGGCGAGGTTGTGATTGCTGCACTTGAGGAGTGGGGTCTGCTGGCGACTGAGATCGAGGACCTAGAAGAAGAGACCGAGGCTGCCATGGAAGCTTTTGTAGAGCAACTTGAGAGCGCAGACTCAGGTGTGCAGATTGCAGCTGGAGAGAATATTGCACTTTTGTATGAAAAGTCGCTTACTCCACAAGAAGAGGACGAAGAGGTTGAAGAGGATGACCGCGACGATCCCGAGTATGTCCGAGATGGACAGAAGTTGGTAAAGCGCTACACGGTGTACCGAAGACAAGACCAGCTTCTACATACCCTCGATGAGCTTGCCAACGTCTCAACTCGCCGCATATCCAAGAAGGATCGCAAAGCTTTGCACTCTTCGTTTGCAGACATTCGCAACTCTGTCGAGAAGCCTAGTCGCGGCCCGGCGTACTCCATGGCGCTACATGAGGAGACTGGTAGGGCATACGGATCTGGCAGGATGAAAGTAAAGATCAACAGGAACGTCGAAGTCAGGATCGATAAATGGTGGAAGTTGCAGAGACTCAACGCGCTGAGAAGGACGTTGCAGGGCGGCTTCACGTATCATTATGATCAGAATGAGCTGGTTTCGACGGCCATCCCATTCTCAATGTCTGCCAGGCGGTAACCTCTATGAACATGTAATGGAAGGTTGAATAGCAGTATGCTAGGGAAAGAAGGAAAAAATGTCTATTTTTACCAGTATGGTTTCATCCCACCTGGCGTGAAGGTCGTGAGCGGGAGAAGAATGACCATTTAGCTCGTCTAATATTTAGCAACCGTCCAGTCGGGCATCCGTTATTATCCAGTGAGATTGCACGGACTAGTGGGGAGAGACTGTGTGGCAAGAATGAAAACTAGACGTTTGTAACAGCTTTGCAGACGGACAGGGAGCGGATGTTGATGTTTACCCCGCATTGCCCCTCTTCACGAGCACCAAGTCCATGTTTACAAGACCCATGCGACTTCCAAACAAGCACATTACCATGGTTGCATTCTTATCACGATCCCGCCCGGCGTTACCTGGCCTCGTGCAATCGAAAAAGCAATGCGATCGATCTTTCCTGGTGTTGTACCGATGTCAGAAAAGCGGGCTTGGCGCGGCATGAGGCTGTAGGCTGTAGCTTCGTGGAAAGTTCTGGATGGCTGGCTGCATGCTTTTACCCAGCTTCGCAACGCCAAAACACATACCATACACTTTTCTTAATCCACGCGACCAATCGTACTCAGTACTTGTTGCAAATATTCACCTTATATCTCAATACACTACAACTGCGACTGAGCAATAATGGCTGACTCTAGTAAGATGCACCCAACTTCAACCATGAACAACTATTGAACACAAATGCTGACTGAGACCAGAGCGCCCACGCGTCTTCTTCGATATTGCGATTGGCGACACAAAGGCCGGTCGTGTTGCCTTTGAGCTTGTACGTTTCACCCTCGCATTGGCACCTCACGCGCCAATACATCCTTCCACTACGATGTGCGTACATATGAACTAACAGATCAATTAGTACAGCGATATTGTTCCCAAGACTGCCGAAAACTTCCGCGCGCTATGTACTGGCGAAAAGGGCCAAGGCGCATCCGGCAAACCCCTGCACTACAAGAACTCGGGCTTCCACCGGGTTATCAAGGGTTTCATGATCCAGGGTGGTGACTTCACTCAAGGCAATGGTACTGGTGGTGAGAGCATCTATGGCGAGAAGTTCGAGGATGAGAACTTTGAGAAGATCCACGACAGGCCGTTCCTTCTGAGCATGGCGAACGCTGGCCCAGGTAAGTTGAATGCAAATCTTACAGCAGATCCTGCGACATAGTTAGCTAACAAATCACCAGGAACAAACGGTTCGCAATTCTTCGTCACCACAGTCCCTACACCACATCTCGACAAGAAGCATGTCGTATTCGGTGAGGTCATCAACGGCAAGAGCATCGTGCGCCAAATCGAGAACCTTCAAACAGAGAGCGGCGACAAGCCGGTGCAAGATGCCACCATCATTGACTGTGGCGAGCTCACGGGCGAGGATTACGACAAGGCGACCGAGAAGGTCTCCGACGCAACTGGTGATCCATACGAAGACTTCCCAGAGGACCAAAAGTCTGCCGATGAGGAGTGGAAAGGCACCGAGATTCTTGAGATTGCGACAAAGCTGAAGGACATGGGCAATGATGCCTTCAAGAAAGGCGATCTCGAGCTTGGTATCAAGAAGTACCAAAAAGGCATCCGCTACCTGCACGAATACCCTGCACCACTGGATGATGATCCCAAGGATCTCTGGCCTCAGCTCTGCGCTCTAAAGATCTCGCTCTATTCCAACAGCGCCTTACTTCAGAACAAGACACATCAGTACGGCGAGGCGATAGAGAGCGCGACAAAGGCGCTGGATATTGAGGGAATCACAGACAAGGACAAGGCCAAGGCCTACTTCAGGCGTGCCCAAGCAAAGGTTGCTAGGAAGAACGAGGATGAGGCGCTGGCTGACCTGAAGGAAGCAGCAAAGTATGCGCCAGGTGATGCGGCGATTGTGAAGGAGCAAGATCTGATCAAGAAGAAGGTTCAGGCGAGGAAGGAGAAGGAGAAGAAGGTCTACAAGAACGCTTTCAACTTTGACTAAGTGCTTGAAATGCAAGGTTGAAGGCGATGTTAATAGTCTTTGGAATCGTCAGAACTGGTGCAGAAGGACCGACTGGTGGAGTATCACGAGCAAATTTAGATGAATCATCATTCTGTGATGAGTGTAATCAATCACACGAGAAACAAGATAATTAAGACTCTTATCTTATTCCACTATGTTCTGCTTTTAGCATAGTAGAGGCAGGCGTATGTAGATATATTAAGAATAGTACTACATAACTAGTAGTTATACAAAAAATAGAGGCGTGTTTCTCCGACCAGTACTTAAATAAGGCTTTCCTGCTGACAGTTTGACAGCCATCTCTTTCTCGCTGGCCTGGGTATAAATTTTCGAGCGTTGGTTCGTGCGATATAGTAGAGCAGCCAGTAGCACCTACATACCAGTAGAACAAGAGACTCCGTAATACAGCGCATCGGCTTAACTATTTTCCAAAGCATGCCAAGAACGACCTTAACTTAGATGAATAAGATCTTACTAAAGTATCATAACTACATCTAGTACTTCCAAAGTAACATTAAAGTTTGCCTAAACTCTGCCTTTGGATATTATGCGATATCTTCAATTGGTTGGCAATTCCACCCACCGAACATCTCCCGAGTAAGTAGATCATGGGCCTCGCCCCGTCTCTCGTAAGCGTTAGACTGAATAATTGTATGGTACTTAGCAAGGTCGAGCTCTTCCCTAGTACTACTAGTTCGGAAAAACAAGCATATCTACTGTACTACTGTTTCACGAGCTAGGGAAAAGGGGGGGGGGGTGTACGGAAGTGCATTTGCCCGTACAGCCGATATGCATGCCATCGATAGTAAGTACGTGAAGAGAGATCTGTACAAAGAAATTTAGTAGTACTTAGGAATAGTTTAAATGAGTAGTACTTTACCCCACCCTCTAAGTAAGGCTACAAAGCGATTAGGTGGAAGAGGGAAGTAGAGAAAGATGGAGTAGACCAGAATAGTTAATTCTATATATAATATAGGCGGTATAGAGAGGTACTTAAGGATGTAAGAGTTCGTCTATCAGTAATCGGTTAATACACGTCTCTATACACTAGCTTTCCAATAACTGTGTGTATACGTTGAACAAAGTACACTTCCCAATTCCTCTCTCTAGTCTCTCATTTCTACGAACTCCGCGTATCGTTAGTTTATCTATCCTACTTGCCCTGAGCACAGTGCGTTACGATGACAACGAACTAGCAGCAGTTCAGGTACTCCAACCACACCGCCCTAAACCACCGCAAAATGAGCAAAATGCAAGAGACGCACGTGCTATTCAAAACCTCTAGATTAGGCAAAACTCTTAGCACTGGAATAGTCGGTAAGAAACACTCAGTGTAATAAACCTCATAATATGGATTTCTTAACAAGGGTATAACTAAACCTCGACTACATATCGCATGGAAGCCCCCCCCCCCCCCCCCAAACGCCCCCAGCCCCCCCGCCCTCCATTAACCCAAATCATCTCAGACTTCCACTCATACTACCCGTCAAGTCCCTTTTCCCAAGAACCCCAGGCGAAAGAACAATGGTAATAATGGCGTGAAAAAAAATCCTCTCTTTCTTATCTTTCCTCCCTCCGAGAAAACGAAGATACGGTAAAGGGGGGGAGGGGGGGGGGAATATGTGGGGAGGTGTATCTCGTATATGCGAAATTGAATAAAGACGGCGACTCCGAAATTCCCCACAATAACTTGGACCTGGACTCCCCCACATACTACAACTTACTCACGTCCCACTTTCAAGCTCCACCTCGATAGTACCCGGATACGACCGACAAACGAACAACCAAAAGAAGCCTGATACGACAAAACGGCGACCAAGAGAAATGATGGAAACTAGAACAAAAAAAATGAACATGTAAAATCCTCTTGTTTTTTGTGTGTTCCCGGGAATAATAATCGAGAGAAAAAAAATCTAAAGTAAAAAACTGCCATCTTTCCGTCTTGCACTTTGCCCAATTCTTTCCCCTCGCCCCCCTCCAACCCCAACCCTCCATATCTGACATTCCAACATCCACCGTGCGTGTGTGTGTGTGTGTGTGTGTGGTTGTTCCTTCCATCATTTCACAACATACCCATGTTTAAATCCAGAAAGAAGAGATAGAAAGAACCTCCCTCCGTCCAAAAAAAGGAGAATCACCCGCTCGCTGCTGCTGCTAAAAAAGTCAAAGAGATAAAAAATGGTGTGATGAAGAAGTGGGAAAGAAGAAGGGGTAGAAAAAGAACGCACAGCGCCTCCCGCTAGAAAAAAAAGCAAAAGCAAGTTGAATAGAGAATGAACCCCCCCCCCCCCCCCCCAAGTGTAATTGCCAAAAATTGTTAAGAAGAAAAAAGGGAAGGAAGAAAGACCCTCTTGTTGCTCATCGACAAAAAAGAGAGATAGAGAAAAAGAAAAAGGTTAGGTAGGTAAAGGTGGAAGGTAGAGGAGGGACAGAGACATTGATGAGAAAGTAGTAGGTAGAACATGTCTTTGCTAGAGAGAGTAACGTCGACGACGGGTGGCGGAGAAAATAGAGGAAGGAATCAAGGGTAACTCCCCTTATCCAACAATTCACCCGCACTCTTCCGCCGTTTGATTTCCCTCTTGGCCAGCATCTTGGGGCTGTCGCCAGTGAACCAGCCATGCAGTCAGAATTCTTCATCGCGGTCTCGTTCGTCGCCCCGCATGTTGCTACTTTTGCCTCGTAGAATGCCCATGTCGCCGCCTCCTCCACCTCCGCGTTCGGGGCTGCGGTCCTGGCTGCGATCCTTGTCGCGGTCGCGGTCCTTGTCTTTGCCCTTGTCCTTGCGGTTTTCCTTGTCCTTCTCTTTGTCTTTGTCCTTGTCCTTGTCCTTGCGTTTGCTTTTGCGTTGGAAGGGGAGGACGCCGCGGAAGCCACGCTCCTTCTTCTCCTTGGTGGACTTCTCAGAGAACACTGGCAGGGCAGTCGTGTATTCTTCTTCTGCAATGCTGCCGCTGTCGCTACCTTCAACGCTTTGTCCTCCAGCAGAACGAGGTGGCCGACCCGCAAGCGAGTTTGTCGAAACAGTGTTCATGTGCATGTTGGAGGTGACGAGAGAGTTGGCGTTGATGTGAGAGTTTGGATTACTGTAGTTGAAAGACTGTGTCGAGGTAGATGTCGAAATGGTAGTCGTTGTCGTAGTCGTGAGAGCTTGAGGATACGAGGGCGCGGGAGCCATGTGCAGGCCGTCACTGGAACCAGGGGGCGTATCCTCGGCTGCAGAAGCTGATGCGCTCGCCGACGCGGACGGTGAGGCGCCTACAGAGTCGTGTGAACCTGCCACATACTGACCTGACCATTGCTTCTTGGAAAAGGGATTCGTATAGGAGATTGTCGTTGAGCTGTTGCTTTTCAATGAACTTTGTGATGCCGAAATACTAGTGTTTTGCTGGTGCCGTGTTCGTGGTGGTGGCTGCATTGTGATAGGCGTGCTTGTTGACGAAGATTGGTATTCGTCACCGTTGCTTGGGTATAGAGATGAATCCTCGTATTCCTCTTCCTGAATTGGACCCCGGTTTCTTGTCGCTGCGCCTCGTGTCGTATCAATTTGAACACCCTGCAACTGCTCGACCAACTCTTCCCACTTGACACTCAACGACGACGATGGTCGTTCGGCCGGCTCAGCACGGTTCAGGCAATCCTTGGTACGCTCACTGAGGGATAAACAGATGTTGTGGAAACGCAGGAGATCGCCGTCAGTCGATTGAATGTCGTGCGCGCTCTTTTGAGTGTGCTCCAACCAAAGATTGACCAACATTGCAAAGTTGCGCGAGTGGTCAATGAGATACGGCAAGGAAGGAAATCCTTCCTTGAAAGTAGGCGGCAGCCGATGTAGGATGGCAATCGGCGTGCTATAAGATGGTGGGATCGGCTGTGCAGGTTGTGACGTGGTGGATATCGAGCAAATATCATCAAGGTACTTTTTGAACTCCTGTCGATGTGAGGTAAGGAACGCATTCATGGGCTCCATCCATGCCTCTTTGGTTCCAAATGAAGACATGTTTGCCAGACCTTGCAAAGACTTTGCAATGAGGGTGAATGTTCTCCGTGCCTTTACCTTGGGATGATCTGGACATTGCTGTTAGCGACTGGCGGTGCCATGCATCTTACAATTTGCATACCTTTGAGCAAACCAAAGAGCTTCGGGTTAAGTACAGCCGGAACGAAGAAGCGCAGGAACAAGAAACCAGACACACTGCTGTACTGTACGGTCCGTAGGTAGTCTCCATAACGGTCGTCCGCACAAGCTCGGATGTGTCTGAAGATCAGCCTCAATTCCTGCGGACACCGTTGAACTGAATTGTAGATGGACCGCCAAACTTCTTCCGTGCAGTTGATCAGCCTCCGCCAATTCCGATCTAGCTCGTGCTGTGATGAGACCTTGTTCGGATCGACTTCGCACTCGGGATCTTTGTCGTTGATTTCCCTCAGTTTCTCGCTCAGCGTCTCCTCTAAGTATTCTTTGCCGAGGCGCTTCATGTGTAGATCCAAGGACTTTGTCAAGAGGGTATTGCCACGGAAAAGTAGATTGGCCTCGAGTTTGGCATTGTTGCCCATGTCTCGTACGAAGAGCTCTCGATCGCTTGTGGATCCAAACGTATTTGACGGTGACTCGTTCGACTCGCTCGAACCTAGCCTCTTGCTAAACCGTAAGCGACTAGCCGGGGATTCTTTCAGAGTACCGTCAATCTCTTCTTCGACAAGCGCACATATCCAATCCACTGCTGCTCCAGAAACCTGGAAAATGTTCAATAGATATTCGGAGAGTCTCCTGAGCTCGTTGGGAATCATTTGGGCGACCTGTAGGGTTATTCCATTGGAGAACCGGTGGAGAAGCTCGGAAAGAGGGTAGTAGTCACGAGCCATGAGAATCGCACATTCTTCACTGCTGACCTTGACAAGAACCTCGCCGATGGTGTTGCCATGCATGTTTACAAGGGGCCACCATTTCTCCATTTCTTGGTTTGGACCAAGATCATCAAGGTAGATGTCTGTTTTGCCTAATGTCTGGTCAAAGGATATGCCAGCATAACCACCTTCAGTGACCCAGGAATCGTTGCCAAGGGGAGCTTCGAAAACGTTCTTGTCGTTGCGGGTGTTGTAGCTTGGTGGTCGCTTCTTCAACAGCAGCGAGGCTGTGTGGAGTGCGGGTAGGTCCAAGAACTCAAACTCTTCCCTCCAGAAAGGATTGTTGCCTTCGTTCTTGACCATTGTTCGTGCGCGCGTTTCACCGTCTAGCAGTAGTTCCACGAGGTATCCTCCTGGGTTCGCTGTGGCTGATGAAGATGGCCTTATTGGTGTGGTTCCATTGCTGTCGGCAACCTTTGGACTGACCGGCGGTATCAACTTTGCTTCAATGACTCGTACAAATAATGACTTTTCCATGCGGAACATATCCTGGGTGCCAAACGTGGGCGAGAGGGTTCCGTCCTCGGTTATGGCATCCGACTTTGGGCCGTACAATTGCGGGACGGTAAATGCGCGTAAAAGAACTATCCAAACCTCGTACAAGACGCGTGAATCTAAGGATAAAAATATCGGCCGTACTACTGATAGTGAAGGGGAAGACGCAGCAGTGTACTGGGGATATATGGCAATGCAAAACTCGTTATCCAAAACAGACGGATCCAGGCGTTGGACTGCGCAACGCGACAGCTGCGAGAGCTGGATGGTGGACACGAGGGTAACGTCGGTGTCAGAATAGAGTTTGAGCTCACCATTTTCACGAAGAGTGCAGGATACTCTTCTCCATCTGCGGGATCCGTGGCTCTGCAGTCTGTATGCCTGTGGACGTCCGTTGGGCCCGGCACTCTTGGGGGTGCCTGTATTACTGTATGTTACGCTCGTGTCCCAGTAGATCATCTTACCGACCTTGATAATGGGGGCTTCCTTCTTGGGTGAATCCTTGAGCAGAGACACCTCGGAGTGGCGTCTGCTGTCGGTTAGACGGCGCTCCATCATGACTGGAGTCTGTGGCTTTGCCATGCGATTCTGGATGCCCTTTGGCCGCATGGGCGACCAGCAAAGCAGGGCAGCAAACCACGAGTCAAACTCTTCCTGTGTTGGCGGGCGCAAATGGACCTCGAGTTTGGAATTGTGGACGACGACATGGATGTAGGCCGTATATGCCTCACCGTCATATGCGCTCTTCACGTGGCAGCCGCGCAGGTCTGGAATCAGGGTGCGAGTGTACGAGACATCATTCTTGGGCTCATAGACTAGGCTGCCAGCCTCGTCATTGATGTAGCAGTAGGAAAGGGCCCAAGGGCTCTGTTCCCCTCTGCGGAAGGCGAGAAGACCCTGCATCTTGCCGCATGTAGAGCGCATGAGGGCCTTGAGTTTCCTGGCATCCGAGGCAGGCACAGGCGACAGCCACGACTCTGGGGGAACCGTAGTCGGGGAGATGACGGGAGATTGGGGGCGTGGCTGCGTCTGCTGCTGCTGCTGCTTGACGAGGCGGCCGCGGCTGTTTGTGCTCGAGGTCCTAGGCGGGGGCTGATGGGTGGACGAGGACGGGGAGATTGTGGAGATGTGGCCAATCGAGGTCACGACCGACTCCTCGAGGCTCTGGTAGTTTGACTGGGAGCTGGCGACGGAGCCAATGCGATGGCGGCCTTGTGCAGCGAAGACGGTCGAGGGGGAGCGGTCGCGGGTGGTGCGCTCCTCGAGGGTCCTGGTGCGCGGGCGGGCGGGCTCGCGGGCATTGCGGTAGTCGGAGTCGCTCGAGGCGCGGGCGACAAAGGCCCTGGGGTTTGCGGAGCGGGCGGCGGAGAGCTGGCTGTTGTGCGAGTGGGGGCTGTTTGGCGGCGAGAAGCTCTGGGGGGCGAGGCCGTCCTCTGGGATCGGGGGCTCGTCGGGCGTGACGGAGCGGATCGTGGTTTGCTTGCGGTCGTCGCGGTCGCGGGGCCGCTCGATGCCAAAGGCTCCCTGGGCGGCCTCGATGGCGCTTACCTCGCGTTTGCGTCGCTGGTCCATGGGGAGACAGGGCGAGTTGGGGTTGATATGCTTCTCATTGGCACACCTTGACAGGCGGCCCGGCTCCGGAGGCAGGCAACCAGCGGGCGCGGGGCGGGCGTGGTGGCGATGGTGGCTGGCGTGGGTGCTATGGAGCTGGCGTGGTGGGCATTGGGGTGCGTGTGGGCGTGGTGGCTGTGGAGGAGGAGGTGGTACCGCGGCGGTGGCGGTGGTGTTGGAGTCGGTGGACGTGGGCAAAATGAGATGGACTGACTGGCTGGTCGGGGCTAGCGAGAGAGGTATCGATGTGCTTGCAGGACCAAGGGCCTGTAGGGCCCTGTCTGTGCTTGGCGCGTGCCCCGTACCTCTCGCTCTTCCCCTAGATTTTACCCGGCCACCAGGCCTGCTTGTTCGCGAGGCCTGCTGTTTTGGTGCGCGGCCTGGCAGACGTGTCCAGCCCAGCGGTGCGCTTGGATGCCATGCCAGCCTGTGCCAGCCTGTGCTTGCCTGTGCCCGTCCTCTCATCTATCTGCAGCGGCCCAACGCCCTCACCACCACCGCCGTCCAGCTCCACCCTCCCACGCACACAGACACATACACACATCAGCTCATCAAAGCAAAACACTGTCCTTGATCTCGACGCCATATGGATATCTGAACAAGCCCTAACAATCAACCCCATCATCTCTGTGCCTGCCTGCCTGCCTGCTTGCCGTGACCCTCCCACCCAACCTTGCTTGCTCGTGGCACAAGAAAATCATATCAGAAAAAAAAACAGAAAAGAAACACTCCAGAGAAGAAAAAGACGTCTCTTGCACCCTTCTCCTCGCCCTCGTCTCACACTGTATGCACACACTCACATATGTACACACACATCCATCCATCCATCCATCCACACATGCACTCATACACCCCTACCACCACCACCACCATCCGTGATTTGCACCCCTACCCTATCCTCACTTGAAAGGGGGCTTGTCCCCCGCCTTGTCCTCCCCACCCACTGCACTCACAACCTGCGACGGCGACCCAATGCCTCCCAAATCCCCTGACCGCGTCTTGCGCAGCGCCTGCCGCATCGTCTCAATCTGCACCGGCAGCTCTTCGCCAAATGCCGGCGTCGGGTGCCCGAGGACAATGGGCGACGTGGGGCTGCCGGGAGATCGTGTGCGTGCTAGATCCGTCGCCTTGGGAGACGCCGCCCCGCTCGTCGTCGGCGGTGACGACGCTATCGACCTTACGGGCGACGGCGACCGGTTGGCCGTCGACGACAGGCTCATAAACTGCAGAGCCTCTCCAGACGTCGCCCCCAGCACTTCCTGCCGGTCGTGTTCCACGTGCTCGGCCTGCACCACGTCTGCAAAAGAAATGAAGCTCAGCCGGCGCGGGTCTGTTGTATCGAGCGCTCCGTAACCTGGCGCTGTCGACTCGCTCGCATCCACATGGCTCGATGCTGCTGACTCTTCTGGTGCCATGAGGGGTGAGTGCAGTGACTCAGCCATGCTGCCGGCTACGGCCACAGCTACTGGTTGGTGCGCAGAGTGTGTCACAATCTCCACCTCGTCGGGGTTGAGCTGAGTGTCGGTAATGGCCAGTGACGTCGCATCTAATGCGGGGGGTATATGGTCCTCCGTCTTGATGTGTGCCGGCACATCGACCGACGGTTCGGGCTCTTGCACGTTGCGCTCGAAAATGAGCGACGACGCTGGGCTGTGCAGGTTTGGCGATGTAGAGCGAATGCGACGGCTAGGAGACGCGCCCACAGGCAGCATGCGCGGGCTACCTCGCGGCGATGCCCTACGCTCTGGCGGAGACATTGGGGGTGAGGGGAGTAGTGTGTGTGCCGATGTAGTCGTCGTCGTCTTATTAGTCGTAGTCGACGCCGCAGCTGCTGCCGTCGTTCCTGTCTGCTCCATTGCCGGCCGGTTTCCCTCGTCTCCCTTCTTTTTCCTCAGTCCCAATAGCTTCTTTCCCTTGCCCAGAATGCTGTTGTTGTCGGCTGGTTTGGCTTGGCGCAAAGTTGTCGTGGCGGATGCAGGCGGGTTGGGCTCCTGGGGCACAGGTGCTGCTTTCTCAGTTGCGCTCATGTTGAGGCTGCGGGCGGCAGGATGCTGTGGTTTATAGAGGGTGTGAGTGAACTGGGCACGCTATACAAGATGTCGCGAATCGGGCCTATGGTCTGGAAACGGCTGCGCCCGTGTCGTCACGCGGTGGTCGTCGTCGTTTTCAAGGAAGTCGGCGAGTGGGATGGACCCTTGACTACTCCCCAACAGAGAGGGGCCAGCGGGCTTTTGCAGGTGACAGAGCGGGGTTCAACGTGCGCTGCGACAGCGCATGCCTTTTGCTTTGCTTTTTCCTAGTGATGGCGGAGCGGATTACAGCGTCAGGAGAAGTGGTAGGCAAGCCCATGTTGATTTACTCCCTCGCTGGTGCTTACAATGTTGATCGTCACGTGGGGCTGACGTATGTGCAGACCCTGAGCGTTGCAGCCAGCCCTCCCTCCAGGCACACTCTCCCTAGCTTATCTGCCTGTTCACGCTACCTTCAATAGCGTGCGCTCTTTTGTTGCCCAACCGCCATGTCCTTGCACAAACCGTCGACGTATTTGCCCGCACCCAAGTGCTCTTCACGGTGTTGCAGCTGAAGCTCAGCGGCTGAGCATCATGTAAGCACATGCTGCCTGATGCTACACTTACGCGGGCCTACTCCCACTTAGGACATGTTGAAGCGCAGATGTGACCCATTGGAACCCAGCCTGTGGCACGGTAACGCGTTAGTTAGTGATCTTCACTCTCCCAGCACCACCTGCTTCCCTTCCCCTGCCACCCCATCTCAATGTATGTATCCATGTCGTCATTCTGGTCGCCCAACTCAACCATATCGCTTGCTCAACACAGCCATACGATTCTCATCCACCACTACTTCCCATCTACGATCGAGACTCCAACGTCCCGCCCACATGTCATCTGCGCAAATTGTCCAAAATGAAAATTTTACACCAGTCTCGTGAACACCCAAATTTCTGTCCGATTATGCAATCTCCAAGGGTCCCCGCCCGCAACACCCTTCCTGCCCAGTCATCCGCCGGATACCGGCGTGGGATGCCTGGCATCTCACTAGCTGAAGCACCAGATACCAACACCGAACTAGTCGCGGGTAATTGCATCTGATGGTAATCGACTCACCCGTCTCTGCTGCTTCACACAGATCATCATTCTGTGATTAATCACCTGTCAGCCGTTGGACCACCGAGCAATTCCGGAGAGACGTCCGATGAGGTACTTCGTGAGCAGCTACTCTGCCAACTTGGTTGACTAGTTGAATACTTTCATAAGGGAGACGCTAAAATCTCGAAGCACTTGTAAATACTACAAGTCAGCCATGGTGTGGCTCGAGCCTGTCAGGTGCAATAATTGATGCCTGAGGTTTGTCGCACTTAGATATCTGACCTGCAAATATCAGCCACTCATTTCGTCCGGCAAACTTGTTCGACACATATTATTTACATGGGTTCTCGCTTATGCTCAATTTTTAGCCCTTTTCGTCCATGAACGTGACCCGTTCCTGCGTGAGATAAGCATTCTCCTGCTAGTACAAAAAGGTGCGTGGGTTTCGCAGCCATGAATAGCTTGCACAGCCTCGCCCAAGGACGTTTACCATGAGCTGCTTCGTATCACGATTAAAGCAAAAACAGGTCTTCCAATGAGCTGAAATTGGCACGGTGTTAGTCTGACGAGCGATTGATAATCTTGGCCTGTAAATATTAGACGGCCCTACATATATTGGCGAACTCAATGTCTCCAGAAACAGTCAGACCAAACGACAAAGAGAGTATGACGCCCAAATCAAGACTCCTAAGCGAAAGCTTGATAAGGAGGAATACATCTAAGTATGCGAAGAGTTGGAACCTGTTGGCTGCGGTGTGCACTCAATTCCAAGTTCATAACTATTTAGTTTCAACACAACAACCCGGCAACTAAATCCATAGAAGCGCAGGGGCTCGCATTATAGAACTACGCGGCAAAACTAAAAATAGGAAATTTAAAGTCAACGAAAGAAAACTCTTGACTCTTCTTCGTCGCAATGCAATGGCATCCCTTGACTAGACTTCAGCGCCAAACGGTGGCCTGGATTTGAAATGCTACATACCCTATTCGCTTTCAAGCACAATGCCGTCTAGGATACCTTGCTGCACTCCCACTCTTCATTTCCCCTAGAGCCAATCTGTAATATAGCAAGACTAGTCAACTGCGCACTACCACCTAAACACCCCTCGGTGGAATGGACACTAGCTGTTTGTGCACACCCCTTTGAGACTGGTATGGTATTTTATATGACGAGTAATCCATGCTGAATATTTGATGGCTTTTTCGCATTTGACGAACATGGAAGCCAGTAAGGAGTGAGCAGTGGTTGAGACGAGAGTGCACATGAAAGATGGTAGTTCATCACGTGAACCGCTACCACACGACTGAACCGCGGGTCAGACAGAAACCCCGCCCCCGCCCCTATCACCTCTGGCGTTAAGGAATTCTGCTTCTTAGTCTACGATACAATGTCCTCTACAATTCGAAATGCCAAGCTGGTTAAACATCTCTACCTTTTTTACTTTCTACATGAAGCTCGTGTTTACATGAAGCAGTGATGCGAAGCTTCTCTAGTACTTAACATCCGGGCCTACAACAAATAAAACCTTAAGACATGTACTCGAGCAGATGGCGCTTATCAGTTTCAAAGGTCGGCAGTTGCCTGTATCAACATGCGCAACACAAGAAGAAAATTCTATGAAGACAACACTGGTCCACCAAAGCGTTTGTATGCACGAGGCAAGAGTAGCAGTTCTCATAATAGTTTCGAGGAAGAATGTCAGCCTCTAGTCCTCTACGAGTAGTGCCATACTAACGCGCTGGCTCTAAGTATCTTGACAGGGTCCGCCTAAAAGATGAGTAATTATGCTCAGTGGTCAGCATCTCGTGGCAAGCGCACCCTCGTGTCACACAGCACCAGGGGTGCATCTAGACATGTGTCAATAAGGTGACTGAATCCAAGGCTACTATAACAATCGTGACCACTGCATTGTGGCTGCTGTTATACAGATTTGACTGCTGTTGTCACATGGTAACAATCAAACTAGAAGAATAGACATCTAGACTAACCAGACAAGGGCCAAAACTACCAACAACCTAAGCAAAAATAAGGTTCATGCCAACACCCTTCGGGCATCTGGTTCCGGTAATCGAACTTATGGGGCGCATTAATCACCGTACTGTAACACAAAGTGGTTGTTGCGGTGGTTGATACCCCCATCCCTGGAAGTATCCGTGGAGAAACAACTTGATTGCATATTCCTTGTTTTTCACGTTCTTTTTTTCCACACACGCATGATCGTACACCGGCGTCACTTCTCGGCAACGCTCTGACACGTGTGAGCAATTGCTTCTTCCTGCCACTATCCTGCAGCGTGGCGAGTCAAAAAGGGAAAACGGATTAGTAAACGACATATGTACTGTGTCTATAGCGACGCATTACGGGGTAAACAAGCGTGCTCTGGGCGCCAATGACGTAACATCGGCGACCTTGCCGCAGCTGTATCCACCTTCTTCAATGGTACCGACCCCGACCACGTTCCTCGCGTGCCGCCAGCGAGTCACATCGGGCGTCCGAAGGCAGTAACATCGGCTACGAGAAGAAACCTCCATTACATTCGTATGGCTCTTTGCAACTTCCATCTATTTTGGCCCGTAAACTCCAAATGTGGAGATTTGGCCGACGCGTTCCGCACTTGGGGGGACCCTGCATATACATTTCACTAAAAAGGTATAGCGTCAGGCTGGGTGACCTTTGATCTGACATTTATCGAACCACAAGCCTTCTTTTCTCGTTTGATACTTCACGAATGCTACATATATTTACTCACGTGGAATCATCCCCTTCATGTTTGTTGCGAGTGTCCTCGATGGCCTTGCCGCCTTCGAGTCCTTCATTGTCGGGTGCGCCCCGCTCATAGTACTATCTTCAATTGTACCGAGCGGGTGGCGAGTCTGGCCTTTGCTAACAATCTGGATCCTAGGTGACAGTCTAAGATGGAGCCGTCATGATAACAAGCTTGCGACGGATTGCTGCATATTTGCACTGCTGTTTGCCTGGCGCATACGACAGCAACTGCTTGAGCGTGTAGTGGGGTTGTGGGAAAACTTCGGGGTTGAACACGAGTACACACTATACAACGCATACGGTGTTGTAACAGTACTTGCGCTGCTGGTATCCATCCTACCCCGCGCATTCAAGAGCAGCAATGCCACAGCACCGGAATTGTCCAATGGAACTGTACAGAAGTCTGGGGTGGAGGCCCCCAAGCCACGCATCTTCCCGTGTCAGACAACGCATGCTCGAATGTTCCCAAAGCGACACGCATTTGCATATTCGTACCTCCAGTGCGGGTATCCCATTGTCTGCAGTCGAGCTCAGCAGGACGAAACAGGATTTCCAAGCGGAGAAGACCGGTATTTGGGATCATGGTGGCTCCGAGTAAGAGCCGAGGATTACCTCGAGCGAGGCGATGGCGAGCTCGGATTTTACCAAAAGTTGAGAAAGTATCTGAAAGCTCAGCACGTCGCCGACTCAGAGTGGGAATATGCCTACTTGGTAACAGCACCGCGCTTTTTCGGTTACTCGTTCAATCCTGTCTCTTTCTGGTACATTTACGATCGCGAACACGAACTCAAAAGAATGGTATTGGAGGTCAACAACACATTCGGGGAAAGGCGTATGTACCTGCTCGATGGATCGAGTCCCTGCAGTCCGTCCTACAAATCAGACTCCCAACAGTCATCGGCTGATGAGGGATCTGAGATTGAATCGGCTAATGCATCCAAGTCGAAGTTTACTGATGTCTGGATGAAGGACTTCCACGTTTCGCCATTCAATTCCAGAAAGGGATCCTACGCGCTCAAAGCTCAGAATCCATTCCCAACCGTCTTCCATGGTGACCCCAGAATTGACAATACAATCACATTGAAGTCCTCCAAAGACCATGGGAAACTTGTAGCTCGCCTCTTTTCCACTGGCAAGTCTTTGGATCCAGGCCAGCTAGGCTTCTTTGGAACAGCCTGGTTCGTTCTGAGCTGGTGGTGGGTTGGTTTGGTCACATTTCCCCGTATCCTCAGGGAAGCAGGCAAGCTATTCTTCAAGAGAAAGCTTCATGTTTGGTTTAGACCTGAGGTGCAGACTTCTAGTATCGGCCGTCTACCTACCTCTGCTGAAATGTAAGTCTAAACACATCGCTGCAAAATAACGAATGCTGACTTATAAAGAGCACTCGAGGAAGTCTTCCGAGACTATCTTTACAAGCTTGTGAATGAGACCGAATATCCGTTCAGCATTACATTCAATAGCTCGATCCCTGGAACACAGTGTCGCCTTATTTCCACGACCCACGTCCTGGAGCCTGAAAGACCCCAACAGGACATGGAGATTGGTGTGCTTACCCCGGCCTTTTACTCGAGGCTCGTCCATTACACGTACACTTCTGAGGCGATTGACCGTGAATGTGTCTTCACCGACGTGCGGAACAGGACGTTGTGGCTGTGTCGCCCTAAATTACTCTCCTTCCTATTGTCAGATCGATCTTCGATATGCATTGAAGGTGAGAACATGGCGCCAGTCAAGAGAAGCTATTTTGGTGAACTGAGATGGATGTTGCTAAGAAAGCTGAGGTGTCCGCCACCCGACCCGGCGTACTCTGTGACCCCACAAAGCTCAAACATGCAGGTAGACGACATTCGATCCAGGCCGTACTCGGAATTGGACCAGTTTGTGAGAAGTCATGTGGGTCAGAAACATGCTGGAAAATACAGAAGAGCCGTTACGAAACTCTTCTTAGCGCAGCGCTTTTGCTTTGGATTTTCGGAAGTTATAGATTTGGTGGATCTATTGCTAAGGATATTGCTATGCTACCTAGCTGTTCTGCAGATGAGCACCTGGTGCGACTCCTGGGCAGGGTCCGAATCAGCTAAATGCATGTTGGCGCTGACGGAGCGCAAAGACTGGTCTGCGTGCTTTGATGCTCGTGGTAGCGATGATTTCAATTGGTGGTGGCTGGCGAAAAGCGCTTTATTAGTACACGCACCGCATGCGTATGGTTTGCTCAAAGGCTACAGCTAGGCCTATTCATTGTTAGCTGTTTCTAATCGAGCAAGTATGTCCTTCATATAGTCATTGTTCATTGGTGACGAGGAGTTCTCTTGTTGGCGAACATCATTGTGCAGATTATTAGCAATTGCCGCTTACTCCCGGTGAGCCTTGTTTATCCTGATATATCCTGATGTATCCAGGTGCAATCATGACGGCTGCTCTGACATGTTATTTTCCGTTGCATTTCCGGCCAAGTAGCACACATATCTGTCTTGCTTGTGAATGAATGGCTGCAGATCGAATCTTGGTCACGGCCATTTCTTGCGGGTACGATCAGCCGAGGTACACACAAAAAAAGCCGCTGCACGCTAACGACGCGCAACCCCAGATTTCCGCTGGGGGCCCCTTCACATGCACAAAAACACATGGCACGGACGAGACAACGACACATTCGACATGTGAAGCTTGCATATGTCGTGTGCCCACACGACATTGCTTCTCTGAGAGTGAGAGAGCGCGAATAATGTCTAAGATTTAGATCCTAAAGGATCAAATGGAATGCCATACGTAGTTCTCTCCAAGCAATTGGCAAACGTCATCCTCGTCACTCCTCAGCTGGTCCTCCCCCCCCCAAATCCCCACCTCCGATCTACAGCAGTAATGCTACCCCCCCGAACGTGCGGTTCCCTTTGGGCCGCGGACAAACCCCACAACCGCATGACTTTCTCGGTTTCGAGCATGACGGTTACGCTCGAGCTTCCACCCAGCTTCCTCGGATGCTGAGGTCGGACCAATGGTACGCTCAGCCGGTCCTTCCCGAGTCCCTTCTTGGGGTAGGGCTGGGTCATGGTGCTAAACTCAATCCGCGCATTTGGGGGTTTTATGCTGATGTTTCGCTGTGTGTACTTAATATCAAGCTTAGCTCTTCCTCCCGCCAGAGCTTATATCAAGGCTAGGCCGAGGCTCGATTTCCGGTGTGCCGTCCCATTGCTTGCTCATTTGCTACTAGAAGAGAAGACTATTATCCTGATTTCTTTCTCTCTCTTCCTCTCTCTCTCCTTCCATTACTACTCCTCATTCCCCATATCCAACGGTGATCTCGGTTGCTGAAGCAAAGCTTTGGTTGTTCCAACACAGACTATCTCACGTCATACATACACATACATCATCATGGCAAACATTGAAGCTGAAGACGCTCAGTTCCAGAAAGAGGTGCAGGAGGTTAAGCAGTGGTGGACAGATTCCAGATGGAGGTTTACAAGAAGGCCGTTTACGGCTGAGGATATTGTTTCCAAGCGAGGTAACTTGAAGATCTCGTATCCTAGCAACAGCCAGTCGAAGAAGCTTTGGCAGATTGTTGAGGAGCGATTCAAGGTAAATTGCATCTCTGAGAGGTTTAGGAAATGTATTCTGACGATCCCCAGAACAAAGATGTCAGCTTCACATATGGATGTCTTGACCCAGTCATGGTCACACAGATGGCAAAGTATTTGGACACCGTTTATGTCTCTGGATGGCAAGCTTCGTCGACTGCCTCATCTACGGATGAGCCAGGTCCAGATCTAGCGGACTACCCTTACGTGAGTATTCTTCAACCCAAAATCGTAGTCAAAGCAAGAAACTCATTATTTTCCAGACAACTGTACCCAACAAGGTTGGCCATTTATTCATGGCACAACTCTTCCACGACCGAAAGCAACGCGAGGAGCGTCTTAGCACTGCGAAGGGCGACCGCGCCAAGCTCTCCAATATCGACTATCTGCGGCCAATCATTGCCGATGCAGATACTGGACACGGAGGTCTTACGGCGGTCATGAAGCTCACCAAGCTCTTCATTGAGAAGGGTGCGGCTGGCATACACATTGAGGATCAAGCACCAGGAACAAAGAAGTGCGGACACATGGCCGGAAAGGTTTTGGTACCTATCAGCGAGCACATCAACCGCTTGGTAGCTATCAGAGCTCAGGCAGACATTATGGGTGAGATTGGGCAAACCTGAATAGACTGAAATCATATTAACGAGGAATTCTTAGGCACCGATCTACTTGCTGTCGCACGTACCGACTCAGAAGCCGCTACTCTCATCACTTCCACCATTGACCCACGCGACCACCACTATATTCTGGGCTGCACCAATCCTACACTCCAGCCTCTGAGCGAGCTCATGTACGCCGCCGAACAAGCTGGAAAGAGCGGTGCTCAACTTCAAGCCATCGAAGACGCCTGGATCAAGGATGCCAACCTTAAGCTCTTCCACGAGGCTGTAATCGATACCATCAACGCTGGCGCACATGCCAACAAGCAAGGTCTGATCAACGAGTTCCTGGAGAAGAGCAAAGGCAAGAGCAACTTCGAAGCACGTGCCATTGCCACTAATATTATCGGCGTTGACGTATACTTCAACTGGGAGGCAGCAAGGACGCGAGAAGGTTACTACAGGTACCAAGGCGGCTGCCAAACTGCCATCAACCGCGCCATAGCATACGCTCCCTACTGCGACATGATCTGGATGGAGTCGAAGCTACCAGATTATGCGCAAGCCAAAGAATTTGCCGACGGCGTGCATGCAGTATGGCCTGAGCAAAAGTATTTCTCTCCATCTATTCATCCATTTTTCACAGATTGCTAACGTTTTGCCAGACTCGCATACAACCTCTCGCCTTCATTCAACTGGAAAGCCGCTATGTCACGTGACGAGCAAGAGACATATATCCAGCGTCTCTCCAAGCTCGGCTACTGCTGGCAATTCATCACGCTCGCTGGCCTGCACCAGAGTGCGCTCATGGCTGATACTTTCTCAAAGGCATATGCTAAGCAGGGCATGCGTGCGTACGGTGAGATTATCCAGGAGCCCGAGGCGGACAACAAGGTCGATGTTCTTACGCATCAGAAATGGAGTGGTGCCAACTATGTGGACAACCTGCTCAAGATGGTCAGTGGTGGTGTCAGCTCGACGGCTGCAATGGGAAAGGGAGTCACGGAAGATCAGTTCAAGTAGGTTGTTGGAGGGGTGGCTGACTACATACCTGTTAGCAAAAGAGATTGCTTTGTATATTAAATATACGTTTGATTTACGCATTGTTGCAGGCTCTTGCTTTAGTTTGGCGACCAAAAGGGTGGTAGAAAACACCACGTGCCCAAGCCTCGGTCGTTGCTCTTTGGAAAGTCGACATGCCAAGAAGCTGGCGGAGACATAGTTCCACACTTCCAAGGTACCGTTGTAAGCGCTAGATGCAAGTTAATGAATGATCGCGAACCAAACTCTTTTCCAATGTGCTTCACCAACTAACCCTCCACAACCAAGATGTCCCTACTTCCGCTGGACGCAGAAGCTATTGACAAATCGAGGCTCTCTTGTTACCCGTATTTTGGCGCTGGAATGTCCTCAAATCATCTCGTCTCAGCTGCCCCCAAATATGCGGGGATGCTCGCACAGCCTCACGCCACAAGGGCGACCAAATCCTCCACCGCGGTCAGACTCAAACGGATAAAGTGGTTCCCGACCGCCTTGCCCGCGCGCAGCCCCTTCTGACTGCGGCTGAGTCAAGATGTATGCGCATAATTGGGTGGCTTGTTGCTATCAGCTGAACCGCAAGCTGCAACGATTATCGTGCGTCAGCACAAAATGATGTACAATGTGTACGTATGTAGTCGCAGCCTGTGTACGCACACCGCGTTCGCACGGCAAACAAAGCCCCGCGATTCGTGTTGTTAACTACTACTCAAAAGCACCAACCACCTCCATAGTCTTCCCAAGAAGTAAACCAGGGTTTTTGTTTCAACCACCAAGCATAGTGAACACAAATCTTGGTGCATATCGAAAAGCAGCGGCGTAATTTAACACAGAAAGATTCCGAGCGAAGTTCGGTGATTAAACGAGGAAGGAGAGAGAAAAACGTGGTATTAAACCACGGTTTGCCTGAATCGAGGCTGTGCTAGGCCTCCCATGTACCTTTTTGTCACATAGCACAAAAAAGGTGAACCAACCAGCCACAATAGACACACAGGGCGTATAGAAAACAAATCCGTTTCCCGCCCCAGGCTGCGTCTTCTCTTTCCACAATCCCCTTACATACTACAATATCCCAAAAACCCCCAGTTGCACACACCCTCTCGAAAGAAAAAAAGCGACAATAACAACAAAGAAAGAGATAGATAGTAGTGGTGGAAAACCAGAAATCATGGACCACACCATCAGCATAGTACCCTCCTACCCGGAGGCCTTCCCACCACTCGACTCCTGCACACCCATAACATCGCAACACAACCACTCCGCACCACCAATCTGCGCCATATCCTCTCCAACAACCACCACCCTAGACCCCCTCTTCCAAATCCACTACGACACCCCTCTATACACTGAAATCAACATCCCCCTCCCGCGCCTCCCTCCCCCCCGAAACCCCGCGCGCAATGCCAACATCACCAGCCCCACCTCGTCTTCACCAAATGCACCCACAGTCCAAGACTCACCGCGCGGCCGCTCAAAAACCCTCTCATCACTTTCTCGCTTCCGGACACGGCGTTGCTCGTCCTCCTCATCGCAACAACCTCCGTCGCCCTCTAGCTCCCGCCCCTCAACATCATCGTTGGCGTCAGTGTCAGAGCTGAAGCAGAGGCAAAGCGACGACTCCCCCCGCATTCGGCCCCGCAAAGAAACTATCAAATCGCGCGAAGTCAACGCGCTGATGGATCTGCGGCATCAGAGTAAAAAAGGGAGGAGTAGTGGGACGATTGATGCGCTGGCGGTTGTGCCTGCGGTGCTGGTGTTGAGTGCCGAGTTGTTTACGCCGGGGGAGAAGGAGGGGCGGAGGAAGGATAGCGGGGTGGGGAGGTGGGAGGATGGGATTAGGTAACTGATTGTTGTTCTTGTTCGTGGTTGCTAAGAGGAGAGAGTCTTTTTTTTTCTCTTCTGTTACATACGAGGGATAGGAGGACGTGGAAAATGCAGCGTTTGAGGATTTTGGGAAACGCTGGGGCTTGGTGATGGGGCGTTTTTCTTTCTTTTATGGGACGTGAAAGCTTATTTGTACGGCGGTGAGTGCTGGGCACATGCGTATGCTAGTGAGCAACAGAAGGAATTGAGTGGGAAGAGAGGAAAAGCTATGGATGGGAGATTAGTTAAATGGAGGATGAGAAGATGAGTTGAAATGCTGGGTTCAGCAGAGGATGAAGACAAGGAACGAACTTAGCGACACGATGCACCTAGTAGTGCAGAATTCCTCAGGGCTGCAGTTGCAGAAAATGTATACCCAAATCAATCTATTTATGATAACATGCATATTCAATTCTCAGAATAACTTTTTCATTCTCCTTCGTCATATCATTAACATCCATCGTACTGACGATACCACTCGAGTCATTCGGACAGGGGTGAAGCCTCACCACACAGCACGTGGTCATGCAACAGCACAACACACCAACCGTCGACCCAGTGGAACCGAAAAAAAAATAGCCATGACTATTTCAAAGTTTTTGTAAGAGGAACCATCCTTTGAAAAACGCCAATCCATGCACATATGCTCATGATGCACATTTAGGTATTTGATATACCGCTCCTCAGCAGTCTTAAAAAAACACGCAAAGTACAGAAAATTCAAAAATACACTCCCATGTCCAATCTGAATGTCATCGAAAGGAGGGTCCAAGAGTGTGCAACCTTTAACAAAACGAAAAAGAGAGCAAAAAAGGCCTTTAACCAAGTCTGCCTCTACCGCTCCCAAGGTCCATAGGGAGCTGACACCGAGCGTGGCGTGGCGGGATTGATCCAGTAGTGGAAGCTGAACGAGCAGAGGTACTAACTGTAATCGAACAGCACGCTGATGCTCTCACCGTGGTGAACGCGGCGAATAGCCTAGTTTTCCTATTAGTATGCTCCAATCAACCAAAGTTTTGTACATACCTCAGCAAACACATTACCCACTTCCAAAACCTCCAACTTGGGGCACCTCGACTTGTGCTCGTCCTGAGGTACCGTGTTGGTCACGATAACCTTGTCCAGTGCACTAGCGTTGATCCGATCAATGGCATCTCCGCTCAGAATGCCGTGCGTGATGAGCGCAATTACTTGTGTGGCGCCCTCCTTCTTCAGGAGCTTCGCTGCACGGGTAATGGTGTTGGACGTATCCGCCAAGTCATCGATAAGAATCGTGGTGCGAGCTGATACGTCTCCAACCAACATCATGGTCGCGTTTTGCCGGTCGCTGATCTGGGTAGGACGGCGCTCTTTATGGATAAGTGCAAAGGGCATGCCGAGTGCATCAGCGATGGCAGTGGCTCGCTTGGCGCCACCTGCGTCAGGGGAGACTACAACGGCCTGTTGATAGTTGGGAATATTGAATTGGATGTATTTGCGCAGGAGGTGACGCCCGTACAGGTTATCGACAGGGATGTCGAAGAACCCTTGGTATTGCGGGTCTGGAGATTTGTTAGAGACAGTTGCTTGTGTCTACAACGATGTCACATACCGTGGAGATCCATAGTAATAACGTGGTCGGCTCCAGCACATGTTAGAAGATCCGCGATCAAAGTACCGGCCTGGGCGACCCATTGGCGGTATCCGACCTGCGGCTCGAAAGCTGGAGGTTTTGTAATGGTGGTCTGGCGTGCCAGCGCACCGGGCGTCTGAGTACCATTGGTACCATTAACGCCGTTGGTGGCATGATCGGTGCCAAAGTACGCAGCCTTGTCTCCCTTGGTCGAGTCAAGCGTGTCGGTGCGCTTGATGCCATTCGTCTTGACGGGGCTTGAAGGGTTCGAGGTAATGCCATTGCGCTCGTCGAGCTTTATCTTGCTAAGCTGGTGGTGCAGCGATGCCGAGCCATTTGCAAGACCTGCGCTCTCAGGCTGACCTGGGTGGGGCGTCTGCGGGCGAGATTCGAGCGAGTATGTGCCGGTCCTTGAGCGCCCAGGGACCTTTGACAGCGGTGCACCCGTCTTGTTATAGGGAATGTCCGACTGTCGCGAGTATGGGAAGAGAGGAAGGACGGCGGTGATGCGCTTCGCAGAGGCAGTTCGGCAGGCCGAGATGGTGATAAGCAGTCTATAGTACGTCAGGCACTTGACTCAACTATACCATTAGGACAGGCCTACTCCATCAAATGGTCGTTGACTGTGCGCGACACCAAATGTTAGCGCGGTTTGTGAAGCATGCTGCTGTGTGACTGGCGTTGGGATGATTGCGCGACTCGAGGGAAAAAAAAATGCGACGACGCGTGTGTGGAGTGGGCAGGGAAATTCCATACCTTTACCACCACCAGACTGAATGATGAAGACATCCTTGCCGCGGACACTTTCTTGGATCTCCACTCTGGTCTCGCCGCCCTTGAACTTGTCGAGAAGCACCTTGGCCTTGGGTATGCCGAGGTGGTTGCAGATAGTCCTAGAGCGCCGTCAGCGGCCGTGCGCGCCGCACGCCGTCGTGTGCTGCTACTTACTCTGTGAGCTGGGGGTGAGAGGTTCCGCCGAGAACGACAATGTTCCTCATCTTGAAGGCTGGTGGGCGAGGTAAGGGTGAATGGTCTTTCGCGACTGGCAGTGACAAGGAGGGAATGATGAGGCAGCGAAGCTTTCGCGTAGAAAATCGTCTTATCGATAAAGGGAAGAGAGCCGAGCTAATCTTGCAGCATGGATGGCGCCGGACAGACTACTGGGCAAGTGTACCTTAGGACGTGGGCAGGATACATGGTGTACTGTGGGACATGGATTGTGGTTTTGTCGTCATTCAGCCAGCCGCCTACCCGGCTATTGCACTTTTTTTCCCTGCCGAGCCGTGCTGAAGACCTTCTAGAGCAGAAATTTACTGCATGATGCACATGTGCTGCACTCTGCACACGCAGACCGGGGAAAATATGCTGGCGACCACATTCGCCGCCGTGTGCAGCTACACGAGTTTGCATGCAGCAAGTCAGTGTGGGCGGCCAGTAATTGCGCCATTCTGTGTGGCTGCCCTCGTGGGCCAGAGGCACCGGCCCACTAGCGCTGACCGTCATCGGCCGGTCACGATCACGGTCACGTGCACATTTCGTCATTTGCGCCTCGACTGAGGACTGTGCCTGCCTACCAATCAAACTATCCTAACCACTGCACTCCCGCCCTTCTCAAATACCCCCGTCTGCACTCGGAAAAAGCCAACGCGACGATACTGTCCCTCTGTCGTTACCAGTAGCATCATTCCTTCCACATCCTCTCGTCCTGGCACATTCTCCACCAATCTTCCCCCAAGACAGACCACCTCAACGCCCCCATGCATATCCGGATCAACGGCATCCAATGTACCTTCACCGCATTTGGCGCTCGCACTCGTGTTCACTATTCCGCTCTTATCACCCTCGGCTAATCCTGCAAGGTAACCATCTGACTCGAGGAGCCTGTGCTGTTCGTCATTGGGATGGGGGTGCCAAGAGAGCGTACAGATACGACCTCTCGCGACCAGAATACCCGATGTGACGGCTCCATACTCGAAGCCAGGAACAGCAAGCTCAACCTCGCAGGAAATCACTTCAAACCCGAAGCTATTCTTGTACCCAATTCCTCCGTCATTGCCTTCATCTTCCCAGACTTGTATGAAGTCCTCCACAGCGCCACTGACAGATGCCCAGCTCCATGAAGGAGCAACGTAACCTTGTGCTCGAGGCTTCCGGTTATGAGTGTCATCATCCACCGTCTCATTGCGTGGACAATTCCATTGTAGGTCTATAGCGAGGTCGCGCTCCCACATGCCAGCAAGATAGCGACTATTGTACGTTTGGCCAAGTTCCTCGGCAATGGCCGATACTGCAACGAGCTTGTCTCCCTGGTACGAGAGCATACGCCGACTATACTCTCCTCGTATTGCGAGCCATACCTGCCTCGTGTTTTCTGGCGTAGTAGCCAGAGAGAATAGCTTACCGCTCCATGGTAAACTTGGTAACTGCGGATCTTTACCAGACGTCATGCCGTCCGCAGAACCTGGCCTAGTACGGTCAATTGTTTGGACACCACGGTATGAGAAGAGAATTGCACGGGTTGATAGGATGAGTTCTTGGAACGTCCAAGCTCGGCTGTTGATAGGGTCCTTCCATCTCTTGTAGTCTGCTGGGTAACTAAGGACGATTTCTGAGCATGTAGGCTGGACCATGTTCGCTGAAAATGGTATCATGACCGGTTCGATCAAGTAGTCGTATTTTTCTTCAACGTGGTGTAGGAAGCCTTCAGTGGCAGATTTGGCGACAGAGGCCACTATAGTCACCGTGGCATACTTGTAGATTGATCGCATCTTCGGTAGTTCCTGTGCTTTATCCTCGTCTGAATCCTGCATGATGCATCTATCTCTCTATCAGCAATCCAAATAGTAGCTGCAAATGTTCTCTTACAATGCATCTACCCAGATGTATTCTATCCCGATGCGGCGTGTGACTGTGACAGCGTCTTGTATCGTCTTGGGAAGCTGCTCGGTCCCAAACCCTGTCGTGAGCATATCTTCAGTGGTACTAAGCAATATGAAAGTTTGATTCGTGCCCCAGACATAGCTAAGTGCGGCAAATTTCGGTTCGTGACCCTCGATGGCGAATGTTCTGACTATGCGTAGTCCGCCTTCGTCGCACAGTTGTATCAGGCGTGACGGCAGATAATTTAGCGTTGTCGCTACAGACTGAGCGATGGGTTGAAGGCTATGCACCCATTCTCCAAGCATCTTCATATTAGTCTCTGCCCCAAGCATTCCATCTGCTGTCCAAAGTGGGAATATGGACGATGTACTCGACCTGTTATCTCTTGCCTTGGTAAGCTTTTCACTATTAGCATCCTAGATAACATACCTTTGCTATTGACATGATATCGCAGCTCTAGAGATTTCTCTCCTTGTAACTTTTGCAGACTGGTGGGATGGTCCGTCTTATCGACAGCTTCGATGTATGCATTCACAAATGTGAAATGTCCTGCATGTCCCCTTTCAAAGGAGATCTCGACTTCAAATTGGCATGCCTCGATCAGTGTATCACGCTCGTCCCATGCATCCCACCCGCCTGTAATGT